AAAATGTAAAAAAAAAAGGGGGACAAAAAAGTCCACAATTAAGACTCAAATTTTAAATGGCACAAAAATCATACTCTGCAAAGAAACTGCAGAGTCTAGTGTGCCAAACTATAATCCACTGTTTGAGGCTTTGTAGAAAGGTCAGTGGTGGTGGTAAATTGACTGGCAGGTTTGAAACCTTCAGGCATGTGGACACAATTGACTTTCATGGATCATATTTTGAGAGGGAAAAGACAGACATAGCCAATGAGATTTCAATCGAATTTTTGAAGGTGTCCCCCTCTGCTTCTCATCCTAACTTATTACCTCCTCCTCCACCTTGTTTCTCCTGCCACAGTTACTGGACAGGAGAGCCAGGTCTGTACATCTCACAGTGGGTGTTCAAGGTAGCAATGTGAGGTAATATGGGCCTTTGCTTTTGGAAAGCCAGAGGATATATAGACTACCTTATTCTTCACCACTAGTCCATTGCCAGTGCTGCAACAGAAAAAGCCCACAAGCATCACAACTTCTTGTCTACATTTTCTTGCACAAGAAAGTTAAAACACAGCCTCTTCTACTGCTCAAGCAGCTGTGCATATGTATTGGAAGGGAACTAAAAGCTAGCAAGGAAAGTAAGAACATAGCCAGGATAACCTGTGACTAATAGCTATTGGCCCTTGTCCCAGCTTTTATTTATAACAGATTCACGGGAAATCTTCTAGGATTGTTTCAAAACAATGCCAATTAGTAAATTTTAGAATTAGCTCTGCATAGTTGGACAAGGAAGAAAGATTAGATCATATACCAGGAAGTCTCAAAACTGGGAATTTGCTACAACCCCTTAATTCCTAAATTTAAAAAACTGTTAATGACATAGTCTGATTATGCCAGTACTGAAATGAGATTTCCCAATGTCTTGATGTTAAAGACCCTCTGCCCAGCACCTAGCTTCAATGGGATTGCAACTTACAGAGGATGTTCTCAAGGTAGAAGATATAATCATGGAATGGTTTGTGTTGCAAGGGACCTTTAAAAGTTACCTAGTCCAACCCCCCTGCAATCAGCAGGGACATCTTCAAACAGATCATGTTGCTCAGAGCACCATCCAACCTGGCCTTGAATGTTTCCAGGAATGGGGCATCCACCACCTCTCTGGGCAACTTGTTCCAGTGTTCTGCTACGGTCATTATAAAAAATTTCTTCCTTATATCTAGTTTAAATCTACCCTATTTTAGTTTAAAGCCATTACCCCCGTCTTATTGCAACAGGTCCTACTAAAAAGTCAGTTGACATCTTTCTTATAAGAGCTCTGTTTAAGTCCTGACTCTCTCAGCTTGTTTTCATAGGAGAGGTGCTCCGGCCCTTTGATCATCTTTGTGGCCCTCCTCTGGACCTGCTCCAACAGGTCCATGTCTTTCCTGTGTTGGGGACCCCAGAGCTGGATGCAGCACTCTAGGTGGGGTCTTACTAGAGTGGACCAGAGTGGTAGAATCACCACCCTCGACCTGCTTATCACACTGCTTTGGATTCTTTAGACCTGCCACCTTAACTGCAACAAGGTACTAGGTCCAGAATTGCTTTTTAGTGTTTTTCCAGTATCAGATGAATGAGATGACCTTTTGAACAGTGAACAAAGGAATCAGCCACTCTCACTTAGAAAATGTATTCCAGAAATCACTCTGAACAATCTGGTCCAGTGAAAAGTGTCCCTGACCATGGCAGGAAGGTTGGAACTAGTTGATCTTTAAGGGCCCTTCCAACACAGACCATCCTATGATTCTATGATTAGAATTGATCATCATGTCCATCACTTTTCAGTGAATGCCTTGATGTGCACTCTTGCTTTGTCTAGTAGATTTGAGATCTATTGAAATGCCATTTCCTACACTTGGAATAACATTATTCTAACCCTGTGTTCATATAATTCTTATTATTATTTTTGGTGATGGTTATGATGAAGATGACTCTTATTGTTGTAGAGAGTGTGCTTTTTCTGGCTTTCAATATTTGGAAAAATACATTGAACTGTTCAGCTTTTGCTTTTCCCCGGAGAAAAATTACTTGGCAGATATAAATCACTTTGTTTCCTACCACAGTTTATGGACAAAAGTCTGTATCTTTGAAAAGGACAACCAGAGGCCAAGAACAAAGTGCAATTTATGACTCGCTTTCTGCCTACCAGTTAACTCTCTGGCAACAAATATTTCAGTGCAACTTAGATGACTCCTGAGAAAGTGATCTGAGAGGTCTATTATACCCTCTAACTTCATAAACCCATGTGAACTGAAATCTCTGATTGTGGCCTCCTAATTTCACATGAAATTAAAGAAAAACATGGCTGTATGTTCTTATTCACCTTTAGCATTACAATGGTGCTTTTAGAGCACTCACTGGGAAACAAGGGGCATAGGTTCAACACTGCACATCCGCCCTCGGTCTGAGGAGATTCACACTTACCAGAGACTTCTGCAATAACAGAAAGGCAACAACTACTCCTATGCATGAAGAAATGGAAGAGTCTGAAGTCAAAGGGCAAGAGAAGTGTTGATTCTCTGGCCTAATGCCTGGTTTCCTGAATGTCATTTGTTGCCTACCACTGTTGGAAGCAGCTTGTATTCCCCCCAAGACTAAATTCAGTCCCGTAAACATCATCACCTGAACATTATCCCCATTATCTCCCACTCCAGCTCTCTTCCCCTTCCTGCAGTCCCACCATTCTGTTTCACAGAGCCATCACCCCTTAAGCTCTCCAAGCCAGAGCTGAAAGCTTCGTGTATTCCCCTCTATACTGCCTTCATAAATTGGTTGTCCAACCACAACACCCCAGGCATCTAAGGCACATTCCTATCTCAACAACCCCGTTACCCTCACCTTCCCCAAACGACCTTTTTCCCATGCTCTTTTCAGAAATACATGTCCCAGACTAATTAATTTCCTGTAGGCACATGAGAGGAACAGCAGGGGAGGTCTGGGAGCTGGAGACAGATTCACACATCAATAAGTTACCGGCCAGCCGGTGACAGGAGCAGCTGTATGACGGCGCTCGCTCTGATTTGTAAAAGATCCTGGACATAGGCAAAACCAGCAGTTGTTGAGACTGTTTTTGCTTGGATTACATGCAACACAGTGTGGGAACACCTGGCCTACTGATTCAGACTTTCATCTGGCAAAGGGCAGGATTTTTTTTCAGTCCTGGATCCTTAGCTCATGTCTGCTTCTTATCCATGAGCTTTGTGTAAAATGCATATGCAGCCTTAACCGTGAACTCCCCCCAAGCTGTTCCCTCCTGGCTATGTGTTTAAAGTTGTTCTCTGCAGAGAGCTTTGTTGTCCCTGATTTAAGTCATATGAAAATCCCTGAGCTTTATTTGTGTACGCTCAGTAGTACATCAGAGCAAACATCACTGTGAAGTTTGTCCTTGTAGCTAACAACTGCCTTGGAGTTATCTTTTGCTACTCTGCTGTAATGTTAAGCATTCATATGCTAATCCACTTGTGGAGGCTGTTGTGCCTGACTGTACTGTAAGGCTCATCATCAAATGATGGCAAAATCAATAGTTTGGTTTCTGCCAATTTGATGCAAGATGATCAATATGAAAAGCAGAATGTATATCACTGAAGAGAATTTTGGAGCATCTTTTATTTCTCCCCAGTTAAAATATTTTCTTGTTTTTTCCTGCATTACCACTTATACCAAGACAGTTTCTAATTTTCTCTTCTGTAAAACAGAAAAGATTCTTCTTAAAGACTGTGTATACGTACATGTATATGTATAAGCTAGTCTCTTCCCTGATGAATAGATCTGACCAGGGCATATACCTGTTGAAATTTACTTATGAACTGCAAATAAATGTAATGGCTTAGGGTTTTAAATCAATCAGTCACTACCAATCAGTATCACAAAGAAAGGAATGAGAACAACAATTTCTAGATCAATTCACTGTGCAATTTCTTTGACTCTGAGCTTGAGAATGAATTTGGTAACCAGTAGTGTTCTCCAGTGCTCAGTGTTGGGGTCAGCCTTGTTTAATATCGTCATCGGTGATCTAGACAAGAGGACCAAGTGCACACTCAGTCACTTTGCACATGACGCTAAGTTGGGCAGGAGTGCTGATCTCCTGTAGGATAAGAAGGCTGTGCAGAGGGATCTGGACAGGCTGGATTGATGGGCAGAGGCCAACAATATGAAGTTAAACACGGCAAAGTGCTGAGTCCTGCACCTGCGTTACAAGAGCATGAAGCACTACAGTCTGGTGCAGTGGCTGAAAAACTGCCCAGTGGAAAAGGACCTGGGGGCACTGTTTGACAGCAGCTGACCATGAGCCAGCAGTGTGTCAACGTGGTCAAGAACATCAAGGGCATCCTGACTTGTATCAGAAATACTGTGGCCAGCAGGATAAGGGCAGTGCTCAGCACTGGTGAGGCCATACCTTGAATCCTGTGTCCAGTTTTGGACCCTTCACAACAAGAAAGACATTGAGGTGCTGGAGAGTGTCCAGAGAAGGGCAACAGAGCTGGTGAAGGGTATGGAACTTGTCTCATGAGGAGCAGTTGAGCAAGCTGGGGTTGTTTAGCCTGGAGAAAAGGAGGCTCCAGGGAGACCTTATCACTCTCTACAACTCTCTGAAAGGAGGTTGTGGCGAGGTGGGGCTCAATCTCTTCTCCCAGGCAACAAGTGAGAGGATGACAGGAAATGATGTCAAGTTGCAGCAGGTGAGGTTTAGATTGGATATTAGGAAAAATATCTTCATGGAAAGAGTTGTCAAGCATTGGAACAGGATGCCCAAGGAAATGGTAGAGTCACCATCCCCGGAAATGTTCAAGAAAAGTGTGGATATGACATGGTTTAGTAGTGAACATAGTGATGGTGCTAGGTGGATGGTTGGATGTGATGATCTTATCTTAAGGGTCTTTTCCAACCTTAATGATTCTATGATTCACTGTAAAAAATGTAGGTTGCATTTCACACAGATATTTTTCCCAATCCCCCATTCTATTTCTTCTTTTTTCTCCCCACAGAAACCAGCGGACTCTGATTTCCTTGAATGCTGTAAATTATCCCTGAAGGAATGGACAACTCCAACAAAAAACCACACACAAGTTTTCTGAGAAGATAGCAAAGGAATTAGAAAAAACAGCTTGACTTGCAGATTCTCACCTGACCCATGAGTGTCTCTCTGCTAATGCAACACTAAATTAAGACACCTTTGTACATTAGGTACTGCAACCCCTCAGCATGTCACTGTTTGTACAGTGACTTTTCTTTAGTATCCCAGTATACAGTGGAACAGAGAAATCTAATCTCCATTCAACAGTTTATGGAAACAACTAAATACTATATATAAAACTTTAAACAATTTTCTTGCAAGACATTGCAACACAGTTCATTGCATAAGACAGGGCTTAAAAAAACCTGTTAGCAGCCCATTAACACTCCATCCGTTCCCCTGCAGAGCAGCTGCCTTACTCCATCCAACTGACTAGGGTGAAGTGGTTATTTGTGCTGTTTCCAACCAGGCACTGAAGCTGCCCTCTCTTACTGCCATCCTTTCTGCAGGTTCAGCAAGTTTCTGCTGCAGTTACCTGAGCTGGAGATTCATTTGCCACCATAAGGGCAAATTTCAAAATTAAATGAGGGTGTAAGCTTTATCCTCACTAGAAGAGTGTTCCTACAGGCATATCATCCTAGCACAGACATAACTCCCTCAGCAAGAGGGCTTTTCTCTGTAAAGCTTGTGTAGGCCCTAAAGACAAAATAAACCTAGGCAAGCAAAGGGCTTTGAATTGAAAAATTCAGATTCTTTTTTTCATGTGTCAACATTTGGCCCAAAAAAAGCTGATATTCACCGTGTCAGTCTAGAGGCTACTTACTTTAGAGACATACAGCAACATATATGGTGACCAGAAAAAGCTCCAACTGGACAGAATTTCCTCCTTGCCTCCTTCATGGATTTTGGTAATGCAGAAATCCCAGATGGAGCTCTGCACCCATACTTGTGCATAATGCATCACAATGTCACACTTATTTGCATATTCAGAGACATTTGCATGCGATTGGAGTGTCATAATATGCATAGTTTTATTCACATGTATTTTTTCCAGATGCGAGGATGTTTGTGTTGCTGTACATTACAAGTTTTGCCATCTATACAAGCGAGCAACCACTTCAAAGCCAGCTCAAAGGAGAAAATTACTACACCAGATACATATGTAGCATCCCTGGTTTGCCAGGCCCTGCAGGTCCCCCTGGAGCCAGTGGATCCCCGGGGCCACATGGACGCATTGGTCTTCCAGGAAGAGATGGTAGAGATGGCAGGAAGGGAGAAAAAGGTGAAAAAGGGAGTGCAGGTATTGAATATTTGTGTAACCTAACACAACAAAGACCTTTCATCATCACTGTTATACTTACGTGTGTGTGTGTGTGTGTATATATATATATGTATGAGATGAATGTGTGTATGTATCTGTGTGGGTTTAAGTGTGACGCATGCATATATATATAGTCAGAGAAAGAAAATATGCAGATATATTTTAGACATGTCTAATATGCACATACTGACATCAGTGTAAAGAAAAGTAAATGCACAGCCTTCCTGCACACAGATGCTAAAAGTTTGGGAAGAATGAAGCATGTGTGGTGTTAAATAAACAGTCTCATTTGTGCCCTTAGCCAGGAGTAAAAGATTAGCAGGTACTTAGGTACACACAAAAAATGCTCTAACTGTATGAGATATTTGGGCACAAGCATCACTACACAGGTAGCCACACCACTGTTCTTCCCATCAGCAGTGCCTGTAGTTCAGGTAGCAATAGACTGATTACATAAAATTCTTCGAAGTATAATCAAGATATGAAGAAAAGCAGGAATATAGAAATAAAGGACCTGCAGGCTGTGAGGCCTGGTCATCTCTTCCAACCTTGCATTCTTTTCACAAACTTACTAGAAGATTTTGAAAGTATTTTTGGAGTATTTTGAAATTCTGACCCTCTTTTTTTTGTTTGTTCAGGCACACAGTAGCCCACACAATCATTTATTGAGTTGATATGTGCAATCATTAACTAACTTAAAATGTTTTTGAAGGTTTAAGAGGAAAGACTGGGCCGTTAGGACCAGCTGGAGAGAAAGGAGACCAAGGTCAGTCTGGTAAAAAAGGACCTGGAGGATTGACTGGTGCCAAAGGTGAAGTAGGTCCAGCTGGACCACCTGGACCTAAGGGAGATAAAGGAGACCGAGGAGAGCCTGGGGCACCAGGGGTCTGTAAGTGTGGAAAGATAGTGCTGAAATCTGCCTTTTCTGTTGGCATCACCACGAGCTACCCAGAGGAAAGATTACCAATTGTATTCAATAAAGTCCTCTTCAATGAGGGGGAGCATTACAACCCTTCCACAGGGAAGTTCATTTGTGCCATCCCAGGGATTTATTATTTTTCTTATGATATCACCTTAGCAAACAAGCATCTTGCAATTGGGTTGGTCCACAATGGGAAGTACAGGATAAAGACATTTGATGCAAACACAGGCAACCATGACGTAGCTTCTGGATCTACGGTGATCTACCTTCAGTCAGAAGATGAAGTATGGCTTGAGATCTTCTACACTGATCAAAATGGTCTCTTTTCTGATCCAACGTGGGCAGACAGTTTGTTTTCTGGATTCCTCTTATACGTTGACACAGATTACCTTGACGCTTTATCAGATGAAGATGAGCTCTGAAGCAGATGATAACGAGTGACATTCAAACTGGACACCCCAGCACTGGATTTTATCCAGCTGTGTGGGAAACACAAAGTTGAAAGAAAAAAATAAAAATCTGGGAGTTTATTCTTGCTGTAATAGCAACCAGATCTGAGCTTGTAAGGATGTTTCTAGAACCTAAGCTGGATTTTTAACTGAACAGCAGGGATTTCAAAAGGAACTGTAATTAACAGAAGACTGCTTCACTCCAGGACTGACTCTTCCTGAAAGTTCTGTTTATAATACTATTTAAACAAATTTAAGATACTGTACATTGGTTTTTATATAAAATATATTAAGTTGCAATGTAGAATGGATATTTTGTATATGATATTAAAATAAAATTGAACAACTGACCACAATATCATCTTTGGTCATTTTAAGACAGGCAATACATTAAAAACAGATATAACAATGAATTCTTAAAAGGAGAGGGGTAAAATAGGAATTTCTGCTTCAAGATGTCTCTCAACAGATCACAAGGACAGTTCCATTTGATATTTACAAGAACGAATTACATTCATAACCAGCCAACCTCCCAATAAATATATGAAGATTTGTACTAGCTGAGGACTACCCAATACCAGTCATAAAAGACCAGAACAAAGCTATTAAATGTATCAAGAAATTAAAAACTTAGAGATCTGAAAACTTGGAAACAATCAGTCAGTATTCAGTGTGAGTATTTTCAGTGTAATTCCAAGTGGGTTTGCTATTCTTTCAATGCCATCCAATATCTTTATGAGAAATATGGAAAAAAGTATAAGCTTTTTGTGGAAGAAAATTGTGGACTCCAAAAAAGGATAGAACAGTAACCAGTAATGTGCATAAATTATATGGAGCATAGGGAGTCACATCATTAAAGCAGCCTTAGTTATATTCCAATATGGTCATATGCAATGAAATAAATGTAGGTCACACACAAAATGAAAAAACTGCATTCAGGAAATCAGTGAACTCGAAAAAGGTACATGGGACCTCATGGATCATCAGCTAAATATGAGTAATCAAAGTAGGCTCTTGCTGTAGCCCTTTAGATGTATGATAAATGGAAGTAAAAGTAGGAGTAAAGAGTAGTTGCTTAGGAAGCTGCTACTTCTGTCATTGTTTCAAAAACTTACTTGAAAATTGGAAAACAAAATTGTTATAATTCTATTCATGCAGATTACATGAGAGATGTAACAAGGTCAATTTACTTTTCTTGTCAATGAGGTTATGAGGTAATTTGATCACAGTCTGCCGGTATCTGGAGATAAAATTTCTGGTAGTAGCTGACACTTCCTTCTGTTAGACAGGAGTAGAGCAAGATTAATTGGTGACAAACTATCAATCCCCACTGGAAATGAAGAAGCCATTTTACCAGTAGCAGCAATCAATCATTGTAAAAATATCTAGGAACATCATGAGTTCTCCAGCATTCAACACCAGTCAAGACTGGCAGTCTTTCATTGGGTGCTCTTACTTTCCAAGAATTTAAAATCTTCTTTTATTCATCCCATATTTACAGAAATCTGATGTTTCTAACAGTTATTCAGATAACATCAAATGCTGGTGATCTGTGTTGCACAGCTCTTAATCCCACTTTAGTTATGACCAAGGCAGAGGGAAATTTCTAGGGTTTTTTTCAGTGTACTTAACTGAATTAAGAACATTACAACCAGATAAAATGACACAAAAATACCACTGAGATTGCAGAACAAGCACTACAGTTATGTATGGAACATTAGTCTATGCTCCCTGTATCCATGCCTTCATTTTCTCCCACATTAACATGCATGGCTTTGTGTACATGACTGCTGCTTTATGCAGTGAACAAGTGCAAAGTCCTGACCACAAATCAAACTAGCAGTGCTTGTACAACAGTTATTTTATTTGACAGTGAGAGAGGTGTGATAGAAGACAAAAGTGGATTATTTTTCTAACTAGACATCTAATTTATTAGTGTCACACAAGGGCTTCTTTCTGTGAGAAATATGGAAGAGAACACTTAGAGATTCAGTTTATCACCCTGCTGTACAATCATTTATACATCTGCAAATTAAGCACAATATGAGTGCAAAATGCAGCCCAATCATCATTTACAACAATGATTGATGCTGATGCTTCACAGTCATCAGTGCCTATACAAGGCACAAAGAGGACTGGTATTGCTCAGTGCCTGCCTGCACTGAATTCCACAGGACAGAACAGATGATCATATCGGGCCTGTGACTTCCAGGAAGCATAATTCAATAGACGCAGGACTGGACATATAATACATTTTATGTAGAGAAAGCAACTTACAGAAGTATATAATTAGATTATTATCTTCAAAAATATGGAAATAAGTTTATGACATTTGAATCAGTAGAAATTTTATGTTAGTTTTCATTAGAATTTTTATTAGAATTAGATAATATTCTATAAAACCAAGCTTAAGAAAAGAGTATGATTGATTTTCTTCAGACTATATAGAAATATATTTGGTAGTTACAATACATCTGGAAATTTTCAGACAAAATGAATTTTTCTCAGTTGAGCAGAGAAAATATACAGCTTTATAGTGAAATGTTCCTAGTTGCAATCCTAACTAAAAGCTAACTACTTCCATGTAATAATCTTGTAAAAATGAATCCAATGTAAAAGAGAGATTTTAACCACACCTATGTTGAGAGTGACATCATGGGAATAAGTAAACCAAGAATTATTGCTTTCCTTTACTTAGAAATTTTAGATTTATGTTTGTACGATGGTAGAAGAGTAATTTTTGCTTCCCTAAGTTTTCCCTAATGGATTCTGTAGTTTTTTGAACACTTTAATATTTTGGCAAGACCAGTTAAAAATAAGTAATTCTGTTGAATTATTTCTATAGGTTTTGGCAAAAAGAATCCTTTTACTACATGTATGGACAACATATGTATACAAGTACCATGTGTCCCTGCCCCCATTAAGGATCTCAAGATATTATCCTAAAGTAAATCATTGTTATTGCAAGTATATTACTTGAAAATAGATCACCTTTGATGACATGATAGTTCATTTGGGGTATTCTCTGTCTAAATTTGAATTTATATGGAAAATATCTTTGGCTGATGTCTTTGTGCTATTCCCACCAGTAGGTAGGGAGGTCTGGTTTGGTTTCAAGATGTTGTAGGAAAACAAAGAGCAAAATCTCTTTGGGATTAAATTTGAAAAGAATTAAAGATTTTTGCACAATATATAGGTCATTCTACAAATGTCATACCATATAAAATTAGGCACCCAGACAAAACTAGTCATCTAGACTTTGCCTACAGTCAACAGAGAGAAATTAGTGTCAACAGAGAGAAATTAGTGCTACTGGGTGAAACTCACAGGAAGAAACATGTCTTTGCTGCAGCTTCCTGATCAAGGCTGCAAGAACTCATACAAACCTCAAACCACTAGGAAACCTTCAAACATATTAAGAAGCTCAGTGTTCCTGAGATTCATAAGTAAAAAATACATATATTTACTTGGCACATACGTATGTAAAGACGCATGAGTAAAAATAAAGTTATTTGAAACAAAATAGCTCCCCACAGTCTTTTACTCTTTCAGACTTTCTTTATACTTGTTAGAGTGACATCAAGGAAGAAGTAAGTCATGTGGTCTGTTGCTGAATATTTTTAACCTAGATAACTAATAAAACATTTAACTACATCTTCAACTTGACATGAGTATGTTCCTTTGAACAAATACATTTATTTTCCTCATGTCCATATGGTTAGGTAGTTATACATTTTTTTCAGAAGCAATAGGTCCTCAATTTTTTACAATGTTAAGACAATATAGAGGAAATAGTTACTAATGGATATCAGTACTGAGAACATTATCTACTGTGCTGGTTTAAGAGTTAACCAGCAGGGGAAATGAACTCAACTCAAAGGAGAGATTATAAGTCAGAATAACAATTTACTAAAATAATACAGTAAGTACAATCATACAAACAAACAATTGGTCTTAACCCACAAAACCCAAATGTATAACCCAGTACCCTGGGGCATGAACAACGTGGTGTTCCTTGGGCCCCGCTTGAGTCCAAAGTAAAGGGAGAGGGGAAGAACCTGCTGGTGGGAGAGCTGTTGCAGTCTAGTCAAAAGTGGTGATTGCAGTGAGATGCTGGGGGGAGAGCTGTTGCAGTCTGGTCAAAGTGGTGATTGGAGTCCAGTATAGGGTGATCCAAGTCTGTTTGAGAGCGATGAGCCGCAGTCCTTCTCTGGATCCCACAGAGTGGTTAAAAATGTTCCAAGACTCCAAGATTATATATCCTGCAGTTCAGGCAGGAATGCTCAGCACTTCCCTCAGGGCGGGGAGTTCCACAAAGGGTGTGAGGACAGGAGCATCCTCCTATCTCACAGGCCTCTTAACACCTAGTTTATAGCCTGAGGAGTCAGGCTCTATGGGCAGATGGTGTAAATGGTTCATTGATAACAGTTTCTGGGAAATGGCATGGAAGGCTATAGAATACACAGTTTTGGGTTACACCCATACCCTGATGAACTGGTCTCAGTTGTCCTAACTAGGACATTATCCACCCCTTATTCTATGCCATCCATGTCATGCCCAAATTAACCCCCTTTAAAAAACTATATCCCTTTAAAACTATATACATCTATCTATATACATATATATATACAATGAAACATTACAGACCATTCTCACTCAAAATTAGGTTCCCTTGTGGTACACAACGTGTCTCCCCATCTTTTTGCATTACCCACCAGGTGGAACCAGGTCCTTGAGCAAAAACAATCCTCGGATGGGTTTGCCTTTGCTTGAGGTGGGACTAATCCATACAGTCTTCCCTAACATTCCTCTCATATGTACCACGGGGACTTTATCTCCATCTACAGTATGCAAAAGTTCTGATTGGGCAGGGCCAGCTCGATTGATGGAGCCTCGGGTGTTGACCAACCAGGTGGCCTTTGCTAAATGCAGCTCCCAGTGTTTGAGAGTCTCCCCACACAGTGCCTTCAGGGTGGTTTTCAGCAGTCCGTTGCACCGCTCAACTTTTCCAGCAGCTGGTGCATGGTAGGGGATATGATACACCCACTCAATGCCGTGCTCTTTGGCCCAGGTGTCTACGAGGCCATTCTTGAAATGGGTCCCATTATCAGACTCAATTCTCTCCGGGGTGCCGTGTCGCCACAGGACTTGTTTTTTCAAGGCCCAGGATGGTATTCCGGGCAGTGGCATGAGGCACGGGGTATGTCTCCAACCATCCAGTACTCCCTTCTACCATGGTCAGTACGTAGTGCTTGCCTTGGCGGGTTTTGGGGAGCGTGATGTAGTCAACTTGCCAGGCTTCCCCATACCTGTACTTTGACCACCGTCCACCATACCACAGAGGCTTCAC